TGGGGAGCAGAACAGGTGAATCTACTGAAATACTTGCTGAGGGGAATAGTAGTTGAGAGAGGAGCGGCCTACTGCACCATGCATGTTAGCTCCCTGGCAGGAGATTGAACTCATGTTACAGTGGCTGGTATAGCTTGATAGCCTAAGACTTAACTTCTGCACCTCTAGGTAGGCCCTGATTATGTGGAAGTTTTATTTTTTGAGGAAACTTAATACTGTTTTCCATGATGGTTTGACCACTTCACAATCCTGCTAACACTTATCTTTATTTTAATTATTTACATCCCAACAGGTATAAGGTGAAATGATATCTCATTGAATGCAAAGTGGTTTTGATTTTCATTTCCCTGGTGATTAATGGTGCTAATGAGAAATTTTTCATGTATCTGTCAGCTGCTTGTCTTCTTAAACAGTAACTATTCAGATCCTTTGCCATTTTTTAAATTGGAGGTTTTTTTTTTTACTCGAGTTTTAACAATTCCTTATATATTTTAGATCTTAACCATTTCCCATTATATGATTTGCAATCATTTTCTTTCAGTCCATAGGTTGCCTTTTCACTGTACAGAAAGTATCCTTTATTGAGCAGGTTTTTAGTTGATGTCGTCGCACCAGTCTATTTCTCTTTTTGCTTGCTTGTCTTTTTGATGACATGTCCAAGAAGAATTTTGTTTATTTTCTTCTAGGAGTTTTAGATTTTTGGGTCTTATTTTTAAGTCTTTAAAGCATTTTAAGTTGATTTTTGTTTGTTACAAGCATCTAATTTCATTCTTTGGTACTAAATACTCAGTTTTGCCCACACCATTGATTGAAGAGACTGTCTTTTCCATATTGTGTATTTTTACCTCCCTTGTCAGAGATCAGTTTATCATCAATGTGTGACTTTATTTCTGGGTTCTCTATTATGTCCCATTGTTGAATGTGTCAGTGTTTTATGTCAGTATCATACTGTTTTGATTACTTTAGTTTGAAATCAGAAAGTGTGATGCATCCTGCTTTGTTCTTTTTCCTCAAGATTACTTTGTCTACTTGGGGGTCTTTTACGACCATATGAATTTTTAGATTTTTAAAATTTTCATAAGTATTATGGAAAATTGTGGTTTTGATAAGGATTGCATTGAATCTGTAGATCAGTTTGGGCAGAATCAGCATTTTTGGCAATGTTAATATATTTAATTCATGAATGTGGGATATCTTCCCATTTATTTGTGTCTTTTTTCTTTTATTATTATTTGTATTATTTTTTAAAGTTTTTCACATCATTTTTCATTTGTGCATTTTTCCATCTCAGTTGTAATCCCCACGGGCCTCCCATCACCAATTCACCCATGTATCTGTGTGTTTTTCTTTTTTTAATCAATGTTTTATTGCTTTTTTGTATGTGTCTTTCAGCTCCTTAAGTTTACTCCTAACAAACTTACTCGTCTTGATGCTATTTCAAATGGGATTAATTTTTTATTTCTTTTCCCAGCAGTTCATTGTTAGTGTAAAGAAATGCTTCTAATTTATGTTGATAAAGATTTTTGCAACCTTATTGGATTTGCCTACTAGTTCTTGCAATTTTATTGTGTCTTTAGCATTTTCTGTTAAGTGGGGCCATGTCATAATAAACAGATCATTATACTTATCCTTTTCCAATTTGTATGTTCTCTATTTAGTTCTTTTTTGTCTAATTGCTCTGGCTAGACTTCCAGTATTATGTTGGAAGAAATAGAGTGAACATCCTTATCTAGAACGAAGCTTTCAGTTTTTCACCTTTGAACATGAGCTTAGCTATATAGTTTTTTCATCTATAACCTTTGTTATTCTGAAGTAAAATCCTTCTTTTCCTAGTTTGATGAGCATTTTTATTATGAAAGAATGTTGGATTTTTTTTAAAATGTTCCTCATGCACCTCTTGAGGATTGTCCTATTTTTTACATTTCTTTCTGCTAATGTGATATGTCATGTTGGTGATTTTTCATATGTTTAACCACCCTTGCATCCCAGAGATAAATCCACTTTTAAATTCATTTTGCTAGTTTTCTGTTGAGGTTTTTTACGTCTCTGTTCATCAGGGATATTGGCCTGTAGCTTCCTTAACTTGTACTTTTTTCCTGCTTCTTGTATCATAACAATTTTTAAGTAAGCTTGGGAGTGTTCTATCCTCTTCAGTTTTTTGGAAGTTTGAGAAAGGTTGACATTAATTCTTCAGTGTTTTGTAGAATTCACCCATGAGCTTTTCCTTATTGGTTGGTTTTTAATTACTAATTATAAATCTGTTCCGTTATTCTATACATGACTTAGTCTGGGAGATTCTATGTTTCTAGTATTTACCCTTTTCTTCCAGGTTATCTGACTTGTTTGGTATATATTATGATCCTTTCTATTTTTGTGACATCAGTTTTATTTCTGATTTTGAGTCTTCTCCCTTTTTCTCTCAGGCTAGCTAAAGATTAACTACCTTTATATTAATCTTTTAAAAATAAAAGCCCAGCTCTTTGTTTAGTTAATTTTTTGTTGTTTTTCAGCAAATCTTTATCTCATTTGTTTGTGCTTTAACTTTTATTATTATGGTTTTCCCTCCTGGTAACTTTGGACTTAGTTTTTCTAGTTCCTTGAGATACAGAATTAAGTTGTTTATTTGAAATCATCATCCTTTTTAATGTAGACATTTATTGCTGTAAACTTCCCTCTTGGTAGTAATCTTGTACATCTTACAATTTTGCTATGTTGTGGCTTGTTTTAGTTTCTCTCGAGATATTTTGTAATTACCTATTTATTTTTTACCCATTCATTATTCAAGAATATACTACTTAATTTCTTCATATTTGTAATTTTTCTAATTTTCTTTCTACTGTTGATTTCATTGAGTCTTATTTCCTTATAGTGCCTTTTCATTCTTCTTAAATTTGTTAAGACTTGCTTTGTGACCTAACATGATCTATATTGGAGAATGTTCATTTGTGCTCATAGTAAGATTGTGTATTCTGTCAACAGTGGGTGTAATGTTCTGTATATGTTAGATTCATTTGTTCTGTAGTGTTCAGATCCTCTGGGTCCTCATTGTTCTTCTATATGAAATTTCTGTCCATTATTGGATGTGAGGTATTGAACTCTAGTATTATGATGTTGATGTCTATTTTCCCCTTCAGTTCTTTTAAAGCTTTATATATTTTTGTGTTCTCATCTTGAATGTATACGTATTTATAGTCATCATATCTTCTTGGTGAATTGACCCTTTATCGTTATATAATGTTTTGTCTTTTCTAACAGTGATTGACTATTTCATCTTATATAAGCCTAGCCTTCCTGCTCTTTTTGTCACTCTTTGCATGAAATATCTTTTTTATCCTTTTACTTTCAGTGTATGTATGGCCTTAAATCTAAAGTGAGGGCCCTCCCTGGTGGCACAGTGGGTTAAAGCACAGCACTAAGAAGCTAAAGCCACTTCCGCTCAAGTTCGATCCCCCACTGCCCCAGAAGTGATCCACATGGTGTGGCAGGCCTTTCCTGGCCCGCCCGCTGCTCCCCTCAGCAGTGTACTTTGTCGACCTGCCTGTTCTGCTCCCCACTCTGTCTCTGGTGAATCCTCTCACCCTCCCCATCTCTTGCCTATACCCCAGTTCCATATGAATAAATAAATAAATCTTTGAAAAAAAAATCTAAAGTGAGTGTTTTATAGACAGCCATATAGTTGAATCTTGTTTTATTTATTAAGCTACTTTATGTCTTCGATTAATCCATTTGAATTTGATCATTGTTAAGGGAGGGCTTACAAGTTTATTATTTTTCAGTTGTGTAGCTCTTTTGTTCCTCGTTTCCTTTCTTTATGTCTTCCTAGTGTTTCATTGATTTTTTTTTTCTGTCGTGATGTATATTTTTCCTTTCTCATTTTCTTTTGTGTATCTTCTATAGGTATTTTCTTTATAGTTACAATGGGCTTACATAAAACATCTTATACCAATCTTCTTTAAGCCAATAGCAAGGTCAGTTGTACTTAAGAAATCTTTTTATTTTCTTGAATGCTTATTTTTGAACAGCAGACCATTCCTAACAGAATAGTGTCTTATTTATTTGATTTTTCTTGATGATTTTTTTTCTCCTATTTATTTCCATTTGTATTTGTTTTGATCTCTGTCTTTCACATTAGAAGTTTTCCTGAGATGCCTGCTAATACTTGGTGATTTTTATGATTGGACCCATAAAATTAATTGCAAGCTTTGAGCTTCTTAATGGCCTTATTGATTTTGAATTTCATTTTAAAGTCATCTGACTGGTTCGTTTATTGGAGAAATTCTCCATTGCAAATCAGTTTTTTCAGATTTTTTTCTTGCATCTAATCAGATTCTCTAAAGAGCTTTTCTAAACTCTTGCTTGGGGGTATTCTATCAGCATTCTAGTAACCAAATGGAGGGTGGGGGGAGGAATGTCTGGTATCTACTCAGCTTTTAGTTTACAGTATTGCTGTTAGCCTCTTAGCTTTCAGAAACAGTATTCACACCCTCAACTGCATTTAGGAGTCCCCATATTCAAAGAATAAACCTCCAGTGTTCACTAGACTAAGAGTCACAGCATATTCAAAGACCTAGTTGCTTTTAAACAGCTACCTACCTTACTTACCTTAGCCCTATCCCTTTACATCTATTTCCGAAGGTAATTGAAGCTATCAGTTCTGGAAATGTTGGACAATTCTTAGGTGTAGCTTTGGTTGGTACTTGGTTTTCCCCACTGCTGGTTTGAGATTCAGCTTTTTTGAGAGCACTCGGTTATTTTCCAGCTTCTGAATATTGCTAGTATTGTCTCCTTTCCTTGTTCTTCCAGGCTTTGTGGATTTGTGTTTTGTTTTGTTTGGTTTTAATAAAATGTTCTTAACAGTTTTAGGGAGTTATCTGGAGGGAGTGAACTTAAATGCATGTGTTCAATCCATTGTCTTTCTCTGAAACTTAATGCTAACCACAATGAAGTAATTGCCTTACCTCTCTCATGTAATATTTCTGTTGATCCCTGGTTTACATTAGGTGTTATACCTGAAGAACCTTAGCCCTCGGGTGACCGAAAGAGATCTTGTCTCATTGTTCGCCCGGTTCCAGGAGAAAAAAGGACCTCCTGTTCAATTCAGAATGATGACTGGACGAATGAGGGGACAGGCTTTTATCACCTTCCCCAGTAAGTAGCTTCAGCTGAATAATTACTCATTTGCAGCATCCATTCAATAGGAAGTTCCTATACCTTCTCTAGTTTAGATATATCCCTTTCATTTTACCATGACAGGAGAATCATGTATTTGAGCAATCACATGGAAAGAAGGTAAATAGGGAAAATATGTTTTCAGCATCCTGTCTTCCTTTGTATGCTTTCTGTCCTCCTTTGACATTTCAGTACCACCTTTCCCCATTTCTTAGTTTTCCCTAATATTGGTACTTCCTTCTCACTGTATCAGAATTATTTTTCCTTTGCTGACAATAGTATTAGACCAAGTTACAATTATGTTACTTTTAAGTATTGCTATTCTCATCAGAACATTTGTACTTGCCCTATTTCCTGTGTCTTTTAGGGCTAAGAAATTACAAGCTAATACGCTAAATCACTAATAATTCATACTAAACTAGTGCATGATGGTACATTCTTTCAACTATTATTTGTATCTGAATACATGACTAAAGTATCATGACTCAAAGAGAAGAGTAATAAGAATTGCAGTTTCTGTGACAGACCAAACTTCCTGTGGGACCAGCTGGATAGAGCTGCGCCTTTTATTGCCCCCAGAGATCATCAGTGGTCAGCAACCCGGTACTCCATATAGGCATGTTCTTTTATACATGAGCAGTGTCAAACCCCATCCACTGTTTGTATTGTCTGTTACCATCTCTTCTGTTTCCCTAAAGGTTTGTGGATCCTCTGCCCTAGTGGTTTTCACCTTTCCTTGTTTCTTTACCTATATAAAGTGTAAAAATTCTTTTAAACTAAAAATATTTCATGGATTTCCACCTATTATTAACTATTAATTGGAGATATATATATATATATATATATATATATATATATAACAAGGAGGCCTTATAAACTACTTTTATTGGATATTTTACTAATCATAGCAACAGCTAGCCACATTTGAAATTTGTAGTACATACATGTATGAGATATAAATTGGTTCAGTCAACAGACATAACTTATCTACTTATAGTTTCACAGATTCTGAGCAATAATTCTCCTACTTTCTAATTTCCCACATCTCACATCTAGGCTTTGAGACCCACATGTTGAATACTTCTGCTATACATTATATACATTTATAATTTAAACGCCTGTATTTCGACAGAGGTTCTTAATTATTTATTTCAGTGAGGGCTTCCACAACCACTTTACCATTAAAAGAAAAAATAAAATTTTCTCAATACCATGATTAACTTCTTATACTTGTGTTACTTATTTTGAAAATTGTCATCCTTACCATACTTGTAATCAGTTATCTAAACTAAAAGTTCTTATATTGTTACTTAGGGCTTGATCTTCTTTAGAACACTGTATCCTTGTTTCTCTACCTATATCACTGAATTAGGATACACTCTCAAAAATTCACCCTAAGTTTTTATTGTCATTATTGTTTGCCATTAGTTTAATTTTGCTAAGTTAGATGATATAGTCAAGTAACTGTGTCACTTTATAGCCTACATTTATCTCCAAGGCTAAACAACCTATACTAACTGGGTTTGGAATAGAATTGAATTCTTATACCCTCTTAAATCAATGTTTTTTTTTCTTTTTCTTTTAGATAAGGAGAAAGCACTGCAAGCATTGCACCTAGTAAATGGATATAAACTACATGGGAAAATAATGGTGATCGAATTTGGAAAGAATAAAAAGCAAAGATCAAATTTCCAGGATACTTCCCTTGTATCATCTGCTACCAGTAACACCCCAGAAATCAGTGGTAGCTAGGAAATGTATAGAGCATATGTCCTGGGAGATCTTTCTTGCACTAGAACTATGGGTCTAGGATTTGTGTATGGATTGCAATTTTGTTTGGAATTAAGGAGGAGAAGCAAAGTGGGAGAGAGTTAAATCTAATTAAGACAATGCATTTCAGCTTTTGTAAAGAATTGGTAGAAAACATTTTCTATAATCAAAGGCTATATAGGACAGACAATATGCTGAGTATGCAGGGTAGGCCACAAATAATATACTTTCTCAGGACAAATTACAAAGGATTTTTTAATGGATTTTTTGTTAGTGCTAAATTAATTTATATGGGATCTTAAGTATTTATCCCTAGAGATAAAATTCCTTTCAAGACTGCCTCCTATATACAGAAGTAAAAAACAAATGGTGAACTATTCACTAGAATCCATTTGTCCCTAATTTTACCCACCTGTAAATAAATGAGTAGTATCCCAGTCTTAAACATCAACAGATACTGTTAAATAGAAACTATCAACAGTAATAATAGGTTGTTTCATAAGTCAGTTCACATATTTAATGAACGCTGCCCTATAATGTGTCTTCAAAAAGCTATATATTTTTCTAACGAAAGCTTTTAGGTCAAAATATTGATTTTCTCATGATCTTTGAAGCTAGTTACCATTGAGTAACCATTAATTCAAAGCAATAAACATTGATTAAGTCTCTAATATATTTTAGGTATTAGGTATATGAATTTTAAAAGAGAAAATGCTAGCAAAGTAAATACTAAATGAGGATATGAAGAAAGAATTATCTGTAAAGCAGGTAGCCATCCCCAAATCCCCCAGTTATAGTTTGTAGTTTCTGGAGAGACTAGAAGGACACTTAGCAGTACTATAGAGGTCATAGAATGATCTTTGGAGCAGACCATTGTTTAAACGGAACAGTCACACTTACCATTCTGGAATCTTGGCAAGTCACTTCATGTGACCTCACTTTTCTCATCTATTAAGTATAGTAATACAATGTACTTGTTGAGTTTTAAGGATAACATGAAAAAGTATCTAGGCTAAAGGACATAAAAAGAATGAAGAAAATTAAACAGTGATAGGATACTTAAACCCTACAACATACTTGTAATGGTGTACCAGGAAAAGAAAAAAGAGCAGCAATAAATAATGGCTATAAACATCCCAACTTGATAAAAAAACATTAATCTACACATTGAAGGATTTCAATGAATCCCAAGTAGGATAAACATATAAAAAGGCTAAAACCCAAAGACAAAGAGAAACTTTTGAAAACAACTCATTTTAAAAGTGCTCAAAGAAAAAGCTTTCAGTATAGAAACCCATAACCAATGAAGCTGATTTTCAAGAATGAAGATGAAATAAAGACATTCCCACATAATCAAAAACAGAGAATTTGTTGCCAATATACCTGACTTACAGGAAATAGTAAAGAAAATTCTTTGGGTGAAAAACAAATAACTTGAAACAGCAATTTGAATCTACATAAAAAAAAAAAAGATGAGTAAAGGTAACCTTATAATGATGAAAGACAGTCTTAATTGCACTTTTTTCTTTTAAATGATTTTTAAAATTTACAAAGCAATATGTATATAGTTGCATTGTGGGACCTCTAACATAAAACTGTAATATATATGTCATTAATAGGACAAAGGAGATCGGTAGAAACAAAACGCTATTGACCTGCAGTGACTGCAAATGGTAACTCAAATCCACAGAAACAAATGAAGTAAGCAAGAAACGGGAAATAACAAGGTTAATATTAAACTTTAAATATATACTTGCTCAACTTTCTTCTCTCTGCTGCTTTAAAAGAAAGAATATTAAGTAAAAATTCTAACATTATATTGTTGGGTTTAGTAAGATATGTAGAAATAATATGTGAAACAGCAATACCACAAAGAAAAATGGGAAAAGGAACAGGTTTATATAGGAATAAAATTTTTATATCTCATTGGAATTAAGTTAATTAATATATCTGAAGCCAATCGGTTATGTATGAAGAGCTCTAGAGTAGCCACTGAGGAAATAACCGAAAATATATAGTGAACAATGTTAAGGAAATTTAAATGTTATATTAGAAAATATTTAATGCAAAACAAAGCAAGAGGAAGAATGAGGGGATAAATTAGAAAAGTCTTAAGTCCACCTATATTAATAACAATAAATATGAGCAGATTAAACAGTCAAAAGGTGGAGCTTTTTCTGGCTGGAGTGGGGAAGGCCAAACCATAATTCATCTCTGCTGTTTATCAGAATCACACTTTGAATTCAATGATGCAAACTGATTGAAGGTAAAAGGATAGAAAGATATATGCAAATAGCAACTATAAATAAGCTGTAGTGTTTATGCCAATTGTAGATAAATAGACATTAAAATGAAAAATGGTGTTAGAAATAGACATAATGACTGAGGTCAAAGCATTGCAAGTTATGACAATTACAATCAAGTATGCACTTAAAAACAGCATCAAAGTACATGAACCCAAAACTGAACTAAATTAAATTTACCAAAAGTATTAGTAATATAGTACCCCATATTCAATAATAGACTAAACAGAAGAGAAACAAGAAAATAGAAGAACAACACTGTAAATCACCTAGACCTTAAAGAGATTTATATAACACTTCATTCAACAAAAATATGTTCCTCTCAAGTACACATAAAATATCTCCATGATAGACCATATCATAGATCATAAAACAAATCTTTAAGTGAACTTAAGTTCTCTGACCACAAGAAATGAAGTTAGAAATCAATACAAGAATGTTGAGAATTAGACACATCTGTTACATGAACAGTGAGTCAAAGAAGAAATAAGGGAATCTTTTGATATAAATGAAAGTGAAGATACAATTTATGGTTAAAACAATGTTCAAATTATTTGTATAAGTACCTGTATTTAAAAAGAAAGATTACATCATTAATAGTCTCTTATTAGATATTAAGACACTGGAAGAAGTGTAAAATAAACTTAGAGCAAGCAAAAAGAAGGAAATAAAATATGAGCTAAAAAGTAACACATACAGAAAACATCTGAAAAGTTGGTTTAAAAATGTGACAACTCTTTCATTAGATTGACCAGGTTAAAAAAATAAAGACTCAAATTATAAGAATCAGACATGAAGGCAGGAAAATTACTACCAACTTTGTAGAGATAAAAATTATTATGCACGAACTGTATGAGCAATTATTTGCTAATAAATTAGTTAACCTAGATGAAATGAACAAATCCTTAGAAACACAAACTGCTGATCCAAAAGAAAAAAATAAAATCAGGAAAAAAAAACTTATGATAAGTAAAGGGGTTAAAATAGTATTTAAAAAAATAGCCATAAAGGAAAGAAAGCCCAGGTTCAAATAGCTTTCTCAAGTGAATTCTCAATTCAAGTGAATTTCTCAAGTGAACTATTCAATAATTCATATAGATTCTTTGCAACTTTCAAAAAAGTAGAGGAGGGAACATGCTATCTTCTAATACATGCTACAACATGAATTAACCCTGAAAACATAATAAATTTGCTACAAAAGACTATTATTACACTTATATAAAGTGTCCAAAATTGGCAAAGATAGACAATGTATTAGATTAGTGGTTGCTTAGGATGCAGGTGATAGCTGAAGTGGTTTCCTTAGAGGTTGAAGATTTCCAAGATTGTACAGTATATAATTCTGAATCTACTACAGACCATGGATAGTATACTTCTATACTTCTAATGGGTAAATTGTATGGTATATGAATTATATCTCAATGAAGTCACCAAAATTTGGCTACAACCCAAATAGCCATCAGTAGAATGAATGAGTAAATTATGGCACATTCATTCAGTGGAATACTATGAAGCCATTAAAATAATGGGATATATCTATGAGTACATTCTGAGCTGGATGGTGTCCAGTATTTTGTATTAAGTAAAAAGTAGGAAATATGTATAATGTTCACTCATTTTTGTAAACTAAATAATTGTATATGTATGGTATATGTGTGTATGTATATACATATATATATTATTGGGTAAATTTAGGAAGATACTAGGAAATATGCATAACAAATTATACATTTCTTGAAGGTGGAATTGGACAGGGTGAAAAGGGACTTTTGCTTTATACAAAATTAAAAGGTGTGATTTGGGTGATTTTTACATTTTTCAGAATTTTTAAAATAAGAAGTTTTTAATACTCTGCCAGTCACTTGACTTCCAGGATATTTGTCAGGTCAGCTCTGAGGATATCATCCAACTATACTCAGGACAAACCCCTATTCCTTTGATATACTGCTCATCTAAGATTAACTTTCCAATTTTAAATATAGTTTAAGGGACAAGAAGTACGCTGTCCTGTTACAACCTCCTGCACATGGACATAATTTTAAGCTGGAGTTTTCAGAAGAAACGTCTTCCTATTGGGTGGGAAAATCTCACCTCTGCCCTTTACTGGACCTAGAGACTACTAACAATGGAGAAAAGTAAAAATGGAAAATGTCCCTCTACTGGTGCATTGGATAAACTGGTTGATCCATACAATGGATCCTGTTCAGCAATAAAAACTATAATGAACTGTGATACTTATAATGACTCTTAAATGCATTTTGCTATGTAAAAGAAGTCAAATTCAAAAGATACTTACTGTTTGATTCCACTGATATAATGTGGAAAAGGTAAACCTGGAGACAGGATAAATGAGGATGTCAAAAGTTAAAAGTGGAAGACTGATTACAAAATAGCACATGAGATCTTTTAATAATGGAAAATTTTGTGTATTGATTGTAGTTACATGAGTGTATGCATTTGCCAAAACTAGAATTGTACACCAAATAAATAAATTTTACTGTATGTACATTTTTAAATAAATTAATTTTTAATGGCAGAAAAATTCTCAAATTCATTTCCATAGTGTTTTTCCTTTTCTGTGGTCTTCTGAATACGGTTGAACACTTAAAGCTACTTGACTATTTTCTGCCCACAAGTCAGCACAAATTATCAGTTTAAAACATATACACCAGCACATGCCATTAAAAAAAAGTCAAAAGACAAGAAAATAATTTGCCACACACAAGGAAGAAATTAATTTCCTTAATATACAATGTATGCAATTAATGTGTAACATCAATAAAGTATATAAATGAAAAGATGTACAGAAGCTAAAATATAAATAATCGATAAACTAAGAAAAATGTCCAGAGTAATAATAAAAATTAAGATAATAAGCTGTCTGATAAAAGCCTTTTTTAAACGTGTAACACACATTTTTTGAAAATAGAAGTTCCCATATCTCCACCCATTTTCCCCTGATGTTAACATCTTATATAACCATAATACAATTATCAAGACCAGGAAAATAACATCTCAATATAGCCTAGTATGTCCTGCACATGTTGCCCAGAAACATAGTTCTTAAGCTTGACTTTTCGGAAGAAATGGCTTTTTACTGGTTACTATTGATTTATAGACCTTTCTTGAATTTTTCCATTTGCCCCACTAGTGTTTTATGAGCTAGGATCAGGTCAAGATCCCATATTGCATTATGTTATTATGTATCTTTATTCTGTTCCCATCGGTGACATTCTCAGTCCTTCTTGTGAATGACCTTGACAAGTCTGAAGACTAACAGTTATTTTGTAGAATGTCTCTAATTTGTGGTTGACTGTTTTCCCATGATAGGTTGAGGTTACAGATTTCTATCACAGAAGTGATATGCCCCGTTCTGTGCAACATGTCAGGAGAGACCTGATGTTGTGTCTTAATACTGGTGATGTTAACATATTACTATATTCCACTTTGTAATTAACTCTAACAGGAAGATAGGTTTGAAGCCATTCAAACATCCTGTTGCTAGTGATACCTTTTACCCACCAATTTTAGCATCGATCAGTTGTTCTTAGATGACAATTGTTATTGTGGTGTACACCTACTGTCAATTTTCTATTTCTTCAATCTCTTCTAAAATTAATAACTGAAATTCTCTGGGGTAAGAATTTGCGCATTTATTTAAATCAGCATGGACTAATGGATGGTTAATTCTGTTTAACTTAATACTGTCATTACATTGTTGCTCAAATTGTTCCAAACTTGGCCATTGAAAGCATCTGTATTCTTTTGACATATCCCCAATTTTGACTTGTTTCTTATTTTGTGGCACCACAGAGATCCCAAACTCATATTTTCCCTTCCTCAGTGCTGGAACTAACCATTTATACATGGACCCTAATCAGTCTACTATGTACCCTAATCTTTGTCCCAGAATCTGCTTCTGATCTCTGATAATGCCTTACACATGTTGCATTTGTCTAGTTTCTCCCTCCTTCTCCTTATCTCTCCCCCGCCCTCCCCCTTTTATGTCCTGTTTTATTAAAAATTTAAAAAAATAACAATTCCCATCAAGGAACTGCTCCATTTCCCTTTCACAGCAAAATTTCTCTATAGTCATTGACCCCATTTCTATTTTCTCTTGAAACCACTTCAGTAAGTTACTGCTCCCAACAAGGTCTCCAACTTATACTAATGAGGAATTTATGTCTCAAAAAACTATGGAACCTACACAACTCATAAGTTAAAAAGTGGATGCAGAAGTAGCTTATGCTTTTAAATACTATTTTCTTTAGTTTAATAAAATATAATTTCTCTTCAAGATTGAATTTAAATGATTGCACCCATCAAATAATTTCCCCACAAAGGCATTAATTATTTAAATTTAAACCAGAAGGAAGTTTTTAAGTCATTTTAGTGGGAAGGTAAAAGATTCCATGATACCATACCCAGAAAGTACATTCAGCATAGCTGTGGTCAAGGAGCCTCATAGAATAGTTCAAGTTACTTATTTAAATTGCTGTAAAGCAAAGTGGAAACTTTCTTTTTCCATTACTACTCAAAATTACTTCAACAAAACAGGTCCTATATTGCTGAAGGGAAGCAAAGTAAGAATATGAGTTAAATTAATTTTGTGAGGAAAGTAAATTAAAAATTAAGTTTCCAGTAAGTCATATTTCTCTGTTGTCTGGACTCTCCTGAAAAAGGCTCCAATTTGTAGGCATGACGGTCGTGGGTATAAAAAGAATGGGCTGTGTGGCATTTCCTCCTCATACAAGGCTTATAATATTATGATTGTGGTGAACTGAAAATGAAGAATAAAGAAGGAAAAAAGAGAAAAGGGATGGAATGAGAGCGGGAGGGATGAAGGAAGGGGAGATTCAGTAAATTAAAAGTATTTTTTTAATTATCCAGAGATAAACTATTAAAAAGATATTTAGGATTTAATTCCAGACTTTTCATTTGGACATATTTAGATACATATTATTTTAATTAGAAAGGATACTATGTATGTCTTATTGCTTGATTTTCACTTATTATAAAACAACTGTATTTCTATTAATCCATGCATTTGTTTAGTAAGCAATTATATAGTGCCTGATGATTATTCAGAATAGAAGAGTACGTAAACATGGTCTTTTAAAAAAGAAGATTTATTTATGCATACAAAGACTGGGGTACAAGCCAGAGGTGTGGTGGGGGAGGGGCAGGTGAGAGGATTCACTAGAGACAGAATGGGCAGAACAGGCAGATGGACTGAAATACACTGCTGAGGGGAGCAGTGGGCAGGACATGAGTGGTCTGCCATGCCATGTGGGTCACCTTCCTGACAGGGGATTGAACTCATGCTGCAGTGGCTGCAGATAGCTTCATAGTGCTGTTCTTTAACCTGTTGTGCCACCAGTGAGGGCCTTGTAACAATGGTTTTAACAGTCATTTCCTGAAGGTATTATTCTGTAAGGTCTAAGAACTTTTACATAGAAAAGTAAAAGGGGAGAGTGGAGTACCTAGCAAGTAATTTTTTAGACTGCTTGTTAGAGCTTTTTAAATAAATCTGTAAAACAATTTTCATTGAAGTAACATTGGGTTGTGACGTTGTATAAGTTTCAAGTGTACATTATTATAATTTGATATCTAGTGTTTTTAAGATTGAGTCTTATTTCACTTAGCATAATCCTTTCCATCTCCATCCATTTTGCCATAAATGGCATGCCTTTATCTTTTTGATTGCTGAGTAGTATTTCATTGTGTATATGTACCATACCTTTTTGATCCCATTCTCTGTTTCAAGACATTTGGGTTGTTTCCAAACGTTGGATATTGTAAATAGTGCTGCAATAAACATAGGGGTGCAGATTTCCTTTCAAACTCACACTTTTGTGTTCTTTGGGTAGATTCTTAGGAGTGGAATCACTGGATCATATGGTAGGTCTATTTTTAGTGTTTTAAGAAATCTCCACACAGCTTTCTACAGTGGCTGGGCCAAATTACATTTCCTACCAGCAGTGTAAGAGGATTCATTTTTCTTTAAATATGGGCCATTAATTAAGTCAGAAGGAAAAAGGTAAATATCAGATGATTTCATTTTTTCATCTGTATGTATAATGTGAAGAAACCAATGTGTCAGGAAAAAAGACAACTTGCAAGCTGACTAAGGCGCTGAGTGACAAAGCAGGGGAGCAGGAGGGAGAGCGGTCGGAACAGGGGAGGGACAAGCACAAGGACGTGGGTGACAGAGCACAAGTGCCATCTGTGTTGGTGGGAGGACTGATGGGACCACACCTGATGGGAGAAATCAAAAACTGCCCCCAAATTAACAATGAAGTAAGAAAAGAAATTCATTTTCTTAAAAATCTACCCAACTTAAAAAAAAAATGACTCAGACTTTACTTAGAGGGGAGGGGCAAGTGTGATTTCATATGCACAGATTCTTTGCATATGAAAACATTTCTGAAGCACAAAGCCTAATCGTTTCACATGAAAAATTCGACCCATTATTAGGAGAGCTGGTAGGAAAAATGATTTAGTCTTTGTGGACCACAAGTGATGGAGAACTGAGGATGTTCTATGCCAGCACCAAGAAATTGTCACAGGGACATGCTAACGTGCTGAGATGCGGGGAGATGCATATTCCAGGAGAAAATGAGAACAACGATCAAAAAACGTAAAGTAATTCATATTCTCCAGGAATATGAACTTCTAGTTAGAAAGGCAGGAGCTGGCATTTGGGAGTGTGGAGAGCCTTAGGGTGTACAGAACACATTTCTACAGACTTCGCAGAGGTGGGGGTGGGTTGGGGGACTTAACTGCTCAAGGCTAAAAGCGATGGATACCATTTAAAGGCATTCTCCTAGTCAAGTACTAACCAGGCCTGTCGCTGCTCTTAGCTTCCGAGATCAGAGGGGGTCTGGTGTGTCCAGGGTGTATCCAAATGACAGCAACTGATGAGGAAGATCAGACTCACCTCAAGTTGGTTCTACTCAGGCAGGAACTACTCTGACAGGGTCACAGCTGAAGTTCTTGTTCCCACGAAACGACAGTTTGCTTACTCTGCTGCATGGTGCACATCGTATGGAAAGGAGAGAAGGGAAATGCTAATGTCCCGTCAGTAAGAAGAGGAAACCTAGGACAGCTGAAGTGACTATAGAGACTAGTACACAAATAGAGACTAGCATGACGCATTCTCCTTGTACTTCCAATCTGAAAAGACTGATGAGTAAGCAAGCACATAAATAAACTGATTGGCTCCAATGCTCCGCGTGGATTGGCATCCCAGCAATGCTTTGCTGACAGAGGGATTGTGTGGTTTCAAATACAGAGTGTTTCCTGCCTACATTAAAGAAGTGGGTGAAAAGCCAGCCAGCGCCCTGGGCCAGCAAGATGCCTTTTGGGCAACCGCTGTCAGGGTCTGGTGGCACCGGTGGCTGGTGCATAGGCTTAGTGTCTCAGCCAGCAGCAGCCACCTGCCTGGGTTAGCCATGACAGCACTTTATTTGTTGCCCA